ATGCCTTATATTTTAGATTCTGAGTGGAATTATGAATGTATTAATTTTACAATGAAGTGTGTGTTTTTTTTTATTTTTTTAAATTTTTTTTTGTGTCTGTCATCACCTTTTAGGACAGTAAAAGTGCTTGGATTTTCTTCAACAGTATCTTTTCTGATAAGAAAGTGAATCTAGTTGGCACATTGGGGGGGGGGGGGGTCAACAGTAAAAAATTCCAAGTAGTTATCAAAAGCGTTGTGAAAAACAAAATAAAAATTAAGGAAAAAAGGAATTTTTACGCAAAATCTGTTTTCGAAAAAATCGATTTTGGTCTTTGGTGTAACTTTAAAACAAATGTAAGTAGATAAGTGAAATTCTCACTGGTTGTTTATATTTGCATTTTCTATACACGATAACATTTTCAAAATATTTTGATTTATTTTGAATTGTTTTGGGACATTTTCAGTTTCCAATTTTATTAGTTTTTTTTTTTTATGAATATCAATAAAAATGTATTAGTTGGTTAAAAAAGCTTGAAAATTTAAAAGAGGACTTCTAGTATATATTTTCAAAGGCAGATGAAAAATATTAAAAATATTTAGTAACAGTTTTTTTTTATAAGCATAATGTAAAGTCAAAAAATTGACAAAATATGGAAAAATCACGAAAATTAGCAAATTATTTTGAGTTAAGAATTCGTAAAAATTTTTCTTTTTAAATCTAGATCTAAATAAAGGCATGACCTGGGAAATTTGATCCAACTTAAGTACATCATGAATTGCTGTGCATAATATAAACATTTTTTCTAAGTTACTGATTTCGTAATAAGTTTGTTTTATTTTATCAGGTAAAAATAAACTTTTGTAAGAAGTATTATTTGTATTAAAATTACTAAACACAATTTCATATAACCTACCTAGTTACTTATATATCTGAAAAAAAGTAATATTGTTTTTTATTCCTAATAAAAAAAGTAAAACTGATTTGATTATTGCCATGAAAACGCCCAACAGCGACATAATATACCTTATATTCTTCAGCGCCCGATTAGTAATTAATTAACAAAAGGAACTCCAAACTAGTAAGTGAAGACATATTATATACTATAGAAACATAAAACAAAAAGGTGGGCAAGTGGGTGTCGCTCTGCTGGACAGGTCTGTCACTGTATAATGGATAGTATTCAATTTGAATTCAATGATATAATATCATTGTATAAGAAAAACGATTCTGAGAGGAGACGGTATGTCAGTCTAGGTATAAGACATATAATATACATATCTATGGTATAAACCAAAAAATTGACCTATAATAAATTCCAAATTAATCATATCACAATATCCATTAGGTACTTATAACGCGTTATACATCAAAAAAAACTCGTGATACTATCATAGGCATATAGTAGTACACTTTAGAAGTTTCAAGTACCCACGAATAATAATATCCAATCAAAAGAAAATAACTAAAATAGTTATGCTAGGTTTTTTAATATGTAATTTCGTCCATATTTGAATTTAAAATGTCTGTAAAAAATAACTGTGTTCATATATTTTTTAGATTTTTTGGTTACAGTATGAACTATTTATGAGAACCTTTGTTTTAAATTTGCAATCCTTAGCTATAAAAACTGAACATTTTATAATTTATTAATTACAATGATTGATAATTTTCGATTAATTTTGATACATTTTGTCAAAATTCGATCTTTAAATGCTTATAAAAAAAAATTGTGCCTATGTATTTTCAATCTTTTTGAACTGAAATTGTTACAGTATATCAGGAGTCTTGTATTAAATTTTTACACTTTTTGTCCCAACAGATAAAACATAATTGATATTTATAGAAAAAAAACTAAAAAAATTGAAAACTGAAAATGTCCGTAAACAGCTCAAAAAGAGTCAAAATATTTTCAAAATGTTATGGTGTATATAAAATGCTAATTTAAACATTCAGTGAAATTTTCATGTATCTACAGTTATTCGTTTTTGAATTACCACAAAATAAGGAAATCGCTACATGAGAATATCCAATGTTGTAAAAATTTGAATATCAAACGCTCATAAAAATTTAATTTGACTTTTTTATAGATATTTTTTTTTCGATAAAGGTAGATAATCTTATAAGGAATCTTGTATTACATTTTCAAATCTTAGATTTAAAAAGAAAAATTTTTACGATTTCTTAACTCAAAATAATTTGCTAATTTTCGTGATTTTTCCATATGTTGTCAATTATTGAACTTTAAATGCTTATAAAAAAAAATTGTGACCTAGGATTTTTAATATTTTTCATCTGCCTTTGAAATAATATACTAGGAGCCTTCTATTAAATTTTCAAGTTTTTTTAACCAACAAATAAAATTGTATTGATATTTTTAGAAAAAAAAACTAAAAAAAATGGAAAATGAAAATGTCCCTAAACAGTTCAAATTAAATCAAAATATTTTGAAAATGTTATCGTGTATAGAAAATGCAAATATAAACAACCAGTGAAAATTTCATGTATATACGTTCATTTGTTTTAGAGTTACACCAAAAACCAAAATCTATTTTTTGGAAAACCGATTTTGCGAAAAAATTCTTTTTTTTCCTTAATTTTTATGTTAAAAAAATGGCGCTTGTGAAAAGTACTGGGAAATTTATACTTTTGACCCCCCAAAGGACCAACTAGATTCACTTTCCTATCAGAAAAGATACTGTTGAAGAAAATCCAAGCACTTTTACTGTCTTAAAACGTGATGACAGACACAAAATAAAAAAAAAAAATTAAAATATTAAAAAAATTAAAAATTAAAAAAAAACACACATCATTGTAAAATCAATACATTTATCGTTTCACTCAGAATCTAAAATTCTTGAGAATAATAATTATTATATAAGTAATTTACCATTATCTTGACCAAGCGATATATTATTAAATTTGGTTAACAGACAACAGCAGAATAAATCACCAATCAATCACTATATAGATAAGGGATCACCAATTCATACTGTTGGAGGGCCACTTAAGAAATGTAGGAAATTTTTGGAGGCCACCAAAATTGTATAAAAGAAAATAAAGGTAAAATAAAATAATTTAATTTATTATTTAAATTAATAAAAACCCAATTTAATTCATCGTGAAAAAATAAATTTCCTGTCAGCGGGGTCTTTAGAGATCCCTAGTGTAGATTATACACTTTCTAGAGGTTCGTCAAAATGCCTCTTTCAAAGAACTTTTTTTTTCTAAAAATGTTTTAATAAGTGATCAGTTATGATAATTGTAAATACTTTTGTTTTCATGTAAGTTGCTAATTTCACTGACAGGCCTAAAAAATTTGGACTATTACTTAACGCTTAAATTTAAGGATTTATTTATAATAATTACGGGCGAAAGCCCAATATATACAGATGCATACTATTAGAGGATAAAGAATTAATCAAATTTAATACATTTTTGATTTGTGAAATATTCAAGTTGTTTAACGCTTCATTCAAATTGTACAAACTATAAATCTAAATATTGTGACGTTTTGCAATGATTCAAACCTTTTTAACAAAATAATCCATACAATCATACTAGGAAAGAGAAAATAATTTTTTAAACACCAAGCATTCAATTGACAATGATACAATTTTTAATTAAATATTTAATTAAGATTAATAAATAATAATTAAATAATAAAGAGCATCGAAGAGACAAAAATAAAATATTTGATTTTTTATTCAAAAAATTCAATAATGAAAGTACCTATAAAAAAATTAAAAAAAAACATAAATCATTGTAAAATCAATACATTCCTCGTTTCACTCAGAATCTAAAAATCAAGTAGTACTGAGAACGAAGATGACCAAAAAAAAATATGGTTTATATTGAATTTTAGTTATAGCCGATTTTTTGTAATAACTAAATTTCAGTGAACCTTATAAGGGGGGTGTTATTTTACACTTTGGTTTTGTAGGACTCTAGCCCCTGTAACTATTCAATCCTAGTCAGTAGTCGCCCATGGTAGGCATAGGTTATGACTTATGAGTTATGACTTATGGCCTTATAGGTGTTTAAAATTTTAATAGTACCTATCTATTACAATTTATTTTTCCGATTTGGTATTGAAAAATAATATTTCTGGTAGGTTACTCAAAAATCAATTTGCTACTAAAAAATAAATTTCTTGATATTACTTACAAGTAACAATATAAAAGTAATATTACCGGTAATTTACTCAACTACTCAAGTAACATAATAATAAATAACTGGTAATTTTACATCATATTAATATAACATGTCTATAAGCTAACTAATAAAATAAAAATCGGTTTCATTGAATTTCTATGATACAGAGTGATAAGCACTTCTCCGTAAAATGATAAGGGACGTATACGAACAAAACAATATTACATTGTTATCGGTACTCGGCATTCTGATAATCTGATACACATGAGTGATAATATTATAATTATTTTATATTATTGCCATTTGCCACAGTGACTGCTCGGCCAAACTGCCAAAGTATTTTGTTGTATTTTCGGTATCGCCGTTGTTATGGTTCTCGTCGTTATCATTGATTTTCAGAATAAATAAGCACGTAATGCAATTTGATCGTCAATATTAGCATAGCTTACATTAAACGTAATATTATAATACAATGTATTATACCTAATATCGTAAATCACAATAAATTGTTGACATTTGCACACAGCGTTGTACCGTATTTTTTACTGCCTCCGGCAACTGGTCTCGATGTAAGACGCACGCGCCGTACGATCCGCGTTACAAACTGTTTCGTTGTACACCGTAATGACGTGGTGCTGTCGTTGTTTTTACGTAGGTAAATCATCACTATTATTTGGTAGATCCGCATATCGCTGCATACTGCCGTCACCGCCATCGCCACTTGGGCATCAAAGTTCGTCGTCGATCTGTTTTTCTCAGTGTGCGTCAACACGACGGCTAGTATCGCTGCCGGATCGCAGTACTACAGAGTACTGACACGTAAGACCCTAGTCCTCAACTCAATCAGTGTATCATCTGTTGTGTCCATGATGAACGGTTATGACTTCGAGTATGCGCTTCGTGTTTCCGCTTCAGCATGCACGTGCATCCAGTTCTTGTCCGGATTGTGAGTACAACACTAGGTATATTTCTACTTTACCGGGCACCCTTTTTATTGTGTTTTTTTTTTTTGTAACTTATGTAGTTAAGTACTCTGAAAATGATGGTGAAGTCCGAATTTGGTGCACGGACTTAGTTTTGATGTTATGGCCTAATGAAGTTCACTATTTCGGAGCGCAGCGACAGTAATCACTGTCTGTACGCTATACTACGACATAACATAGATTTAAATCGTTTAATAATTTTTGTGCCGATACAAGTGTAATCACTGCAACTTAGAACTTCAATAACTTTTGAACGGTAAGTTTCAGGGAATTTTTTCAAACACTTGAATTCAGCATAAAAAACCACGTATTTTGAAAAAAAAGGGTGTCTGGTAAAGTAGATTTGTTCCAAAATTGCAAAATAGTGAACTTCATTAGGCCATAACTTCAAAACCAAATCCGTGCGCCAAACCAAATTTGTACTTCACCATCGTTTTCAGAGTACTCAACAACATAAGTTTAAAAAAAAAAAATTGCAAAAAAAAGGGGTGCCCAGTAGAGTAGAAAAGTTCCCAACACTATTATAGTACGATTAATAAGTACACAGTACATAAATAGGTATCTAAAATTGTTGGGTTGTAGCTGAAGTCTTTGTATATATATTCATTTTTTAACTGCGCTTTATAATCGACAAGTTACTTACGAACATATTATTATATTACAATATTTACGCAGATATTATTGTGTTACAGTTTGATATGTGCTAACTTCATGAAGAAAGGCAAAGTATTGAACGAGTCTGTAGTACCATTTGTCACTGGATTTCTATCGTAAGTTATTTCATATTTTAACTAATTAAATACTACTTTGGTACTGTTGTAAATAGATTCATTTGATAACTACAGTTTTGCTTCCTACAAAATTACTATTCCAGAATATTATTTTCGAATTATCAAATTTATTATAATGGTTACAAAACTATTAAAATAAAATATTTAATGGAATACCTACTAATTACTATTGTTCAATCAGTATTCATATTATGCATTAATATTATTGTACTAAAATATTTTAGGTGTTCACTGTGGCTGTATTATGGTATGATATTGGCAAATAGCACATTAGTGTCAGTGAATGCTTTTGGCTGTTTACTATTTGCGATATACACATGGATATACTATAGATACACTTCTAAAAAAGTAAGTTATTCAAAAATCAACTTTCTAAAATATTTATAGTTGAGATGTTCAACCATTTTAAATCAACAAATAATTTTATACAATTTACATATTTTATGTTGAGGTATAGCCCTAAAATTTTTTCTTATAATTTAATTAATGATAGAATAAATAACATCTAAAATGAGACACGGACAAGAAGTTTGTACAAGACTAGTGTACATTCAAATACCCAATCGACCCACAGAACTGAGATTAAAAGATCGTTATTGTTTTTGAAAATGTTATCGTCTTACTGAGGATTTTATGCTGTTTACAAAAATGTTTCAATAAATAAATTCATATCGATTAAGTCTTGCGAGAGGCGTACATTTCCATCACTGTGATGGTACGCTGTATCAGTTGATCAATGTGTGGAGTTATTCTGATAATTTATTGGACATTGTTTTTTTGATGAACATAATTTAAAATAAAATATGCAAAAAAATTTAATTTACTAATCAGTGTTAAATTATAAAATAAATAAATTAATAATATTTTTTTTATATATATCTCAAATAGTTCAATTATAATTGATAGTACTAGGATAATTTTATTTTTATCTACCTATTTTTTGTTATTATTGAATAGGTTTACTGATTGGTTTTAAATATAATGTTTCACTTTTTAACTATTGATTTATATAATAATATGTTTGCTCTTGGTATTTAGAAACGAGTTATACACTATGTAGTATCAGCTATTGCCGTCATTGCGTGGATTGTGTATTTTACTTACACAAATGTAAATCGAAAGCAGTCAAAAACTCTGTCACCCGCAGAATTACATCTGCATGAAACAGTGGAGGTGGCGGCAGTAACACCTTTGGATATAGCAGACACATCAATCATCTCCTCAACCACTAATGATGCTATAGACCGTGTTGGGCTTTTATGTTCTCTCACTACTATGTTGTTTTTTGCAGCACCATTTTCAAATTTAGTGAGTGTTAAGACTAATGAAATAATTGTACATATATTGTTAAAAAATATCATTATAGTTCCCGTAAACTATGCAACAAACCTAATTTTTAATGATTATTTCCACATTTAAAATTATTATAGATTAATGTGGTAAGAACTAAAAATACAGAGTCAATGCCATTGCCATTGATTGTAATGACACTCCTTGTTTCTGCTCAGTGGTTGGTTTATGGCCGAATGTTACGTGACAAGTTTATTATGGTAATTTATGATTATTATTAGTTAGATTATTCAAATAAATAATAATTTTAAAGTCTAATATATTTTTGGTTGTTTTGCGGTGGAGATGAGCAAAATATTAAGATTATATTTTTCTCATAGATTTACATGAACCTTACATGTTAATATGTAACTAATGTAGAATCTCAATAATCCGAACTAATTGGGGCTATAGATTGTCCGAATTTATGAAAGTCCGGATTAAACAAAATAACCAAAATATTAAGAATATTTATTATGTAATTAACAATTGGATAACGTGATTGACAATTTGTTTTTGTATTTTGTAGAAATATTTGAGATGACATGCATATATTGAAAATTCGTTGAATTCCTTTTCATGTTTATTTTAGTCTGTGTCTCAAACTAAGCATTTACTTGTTATTAAACAATTGTCCTGATTAATGAGGTTTAACTGTACCATGTTTTTAATTAAATACTTTTTTTTAAATATAAATTCACGTATTTTAAAAAAAAAAAGGTATAATATGAATAAAAAATCGATATTTTTGCTCACCTCTATATTGCTGTATGAATTTTATAGCTAAGAATTTAAAATTTAAAACAAGTATTCTCTAAACGATATTATACTCTAACCAAAAAATATATAAATAATGTTTTTTTATTGATATTTCAATTTAAAATATTGATAAAATCTGATATTTAAACAATAACTATTTTTGTTATTCTGATTTAGTTTAAAAATATTATTTTTGGGTACTTGACCTTTAAAGTATATTACATCTCATAATGACACTTTCAAATGCAAATTTTTTGGCAAAAATGAATTTAACCTACTGTAGTACTAATGCCGAATTGTAAAATAAATTACTTTAATAACAATAATATCATTAAATATACTAAGTAATATAGGCTGACACACCGTATTTGATTAGAATCCCTCCTCTATACACCTACTTTACAGCAGAGCGTTACTCACATTTAAAAAATAAATTATTATATTAATATGGCCAGTAAAATTATATAAGTAATGTGATAATGGTGAACATTTCTTATAATACAATTAACTATCAATGTGTTTTATTTAATTTTGTACATAGCTTATCATTGATGAATTTGTGTTTGTTACAGTACCCAAATGCTATTGGATGTATGCTTTCTGTCATACAACTGACTCTATTTGTTATTTATCCTAGAAGGTCTGCCATACCATTGACTACCGAACTCCATAATCATCACCATTCATATCCTTATATTAAATTAATGGACGCATGAAAGATTTCATTATTATTTTACTAACATTATAAGTCTTTTTGGTAGCTAATATTGTTGCAGTCTTCATGACTGTAGCGTTTTCTCAGAGAAGTACAAAACACTAAAATATAAACTATAAAAAATCTATTTTTATTATATTGTTATGATTATTAAGTATTACACTCAGTAGCGTAAGCAGGATTTGAGTTTGGTTAGGGTTTTACCTGAGTAAATAATTTACATTATGTTTTTCTAAACAGTTTTTATAAAACAAATTATAGTTAGTCCCGTATTTAGTCTACATATACATTATTTAACCTGATCATCTATATAGCACCTCTTCGGTCCGTAATAGTCGATGAACGATAATACACCATCGATTATGGCAAACGTTTAGCAATGTTCTAAATCAGCAATAAAAAAAACCAAAACTATAATTATCGACGTCGTTGTCATAATCAACAATTTATTTTAAATCTATTAAAAATTACCAACAATTGATCTGTGTGTACCAAAATGGTGGTAAATAAGATTTTTTTGGGGGGGGGGGTCTGAACCCTAGAACCCTATCCCTGCGTACGCCACTGATTACACTTGTGATATTTATATTATAATTTAACTTAAATTATATTTAGTTTTTGTGTTGTTTTACACCGTTAATGGTAGTATAATTCATAAATTATGTTGTTGTTACTGAATTTATGTTATTTATTGATGACTGATAATTACCTTTTTCTCAGTATAAATTATTGTTTACTAAAATGTATATCAGTAGTTAACATATTCCTCTATCATTGTGTACTATTACTTATTAAATACTACTAATGTTCCTTCTAGTCTTTAGTTAGGGATAATTAAGACATCACATCATTATATTAATCACTGATATGCAATTTGGCAAAAAAGCAATTTATAAAATACATATAATTTATTTTAAGACAATAAGTATTGACTAAACTTTAACTAAATTATTGATAGTGTAATATTATAATTATTTATAATGTGTAATTTATATTTTCTTTTGAAAATATGTTATAAGTTTATAACATAGTATTATGTACTATGTGCTTATAAACCGATGTAAGACCATGAATATTTAAAACCAACAATAAATAATAATATTTTGTTATACTTTCATTATTGAATTTTTTGAATAAAAAATCAAATATTTTATTTTTGTCTCTTCGATGCTCTTTATTATTTAATTATTATTTATTAATCTTAATTAAATATTTAATTAAAAATTGTATCATTGTCAATTGAATGCTTGGTGTTTAAAAAATTATTTTCTCTTTCCTAGTATGATTGTATGGATTATTTTGTTAAAAAGGTTTGAATCATTGCAAAACGTCATAATATTTAGATTTATAGTTTGTAAAATTTGAATGAAGCGTTAAAAAACTTGAATATTTCACAAATCAAAAATGTATTAAATTTGATTAATTCTTTATCCTCTAATAGTATGCATCTGTATATATTGGGCTTTCGCCCGTAATTATTATAAATAAATCCTTAAATTTAAGCGTTAAGTAATAGTCCAAATTTTTTAGGCCTGTCAGTAAAATCAGCAACTTACATGAAAACAAAAGTATTCACAATTATCATAACTGATCACTTATTAAAACATTTTTAGAAAAAAAAAGTTCTTTGAAAGAGGCATTTTGACGAACCTCTAGAAAGTGTATAATCTACACTAGGGATCTCTAAAGACCCCGCTGACAGGATATTTATTTTTTCACGGTGAATTAAATTGGGTTTTTATTAATTTAAATAATAAATTAAATTATTTTATTTTACCTTTATTTTCTTTTATACAATTTTGGTGGCCTCCAAAAATTTCCTACATTTCTTAAGTGGCCCTCCAACAGTATGAATTGGTGATCCCTTATCTATATAGTGATTGATTGGTGATTTATTCTGCCGTTGTCTGTTAACCAAATTTAATAATGTATCGCTTGGTCAAGATAATGGTAAATTACTTATATAATAATTATTATTCTCAAGAATTTTAGATTCTGAGTGAAACGATGAATGTATTGGTTTTACAATGATGTATGTTTTTTTTGTAATTTTTTTTTTTATTTTTGTGTCTGTCATCACGTTTTGGACACTAAAAGTGCTTGGATTTTCTTCAACAATATCTTTTCTGATAGGAAAGTGAATCTAGTTGGTACTTTGGGGGATCAAAAGTAAAAATTACCCAGTACTTTTCACAAGCGCTGGGAAAAACAACATAAAAATTAAGGAAAAACGGGAATTTTTACGCAAAATCGGTTTTCCAAAAAAAAGATTTTGGTTTTTGGTGTAACTCTAAAACAAATGAACGTATATACATGAAATTTTCACTGGTTGTTTATATTTCTTATATTTCTTATTTTCTATACACGATAACATTTTCAAAATATTTTGATTTATTTTGAACTGTTTAGGGACATTTTCATTTTCCATTTTTTTTAGTTTTTTTTCTAAAAATATCAATACCTACAATTTTATTTGTTGGTTAAAAAAACTTGAAAATTTAATAGAAGGCTCCTAGTATATTATTTCAAAGGCAGATGAAAAATATTAAAAGTCCTAAGTCACAATTTTTTTTTAGAAGCATTTAAAGTTCAAAAGTTGACAAAATATGGAAAAATCACGAAAAAACGAATAACTGTAAATACATGGAAATTTCACTGAATGTTTATATTAGCATTTTCTATACACCATTACATTTTGAAAATATTTTGACTCTTTTTGAGCTGTTTACGGACATTTTCAGTTTTCAATTTTTTTTAGTTTTTTTTCCTATTAATATCAATTAAGTTTTATCTGTTGGGCCAAAAAGTGTAAAAATTTAATACAAGACTCCTGATATACTGTAACAATATCAGTTCAAAAACATTGAAAATACATAGGCACAATTTTTTTTATATAAGCATTTAAAGATCGAATTTTGACAAAATGTAACAAAATTAATCGAAAATTATCAATCATTGTACTTAATAAATTATAAAATGTTCAGTTTTTATAGCTAAGGATTGCAAATTTAAAACAAAGGTTCTCATAAATAGTTCATGCTGTAACCAAAAATTCTAAAAAATATATGAACACAGTTATTTTTTACAGACATTTTAAATTCAAATTTGGACGAAATTACATGTTAAAAAACCTAGAATAACTATTTTAGTTATTTTCTTTTGATTGAATAATATTATTTGTGGGTACTTGAAACTTCTAAAGTGTACTATTATATATCTATGATAGTATCACGGTTTTTGTTGATGTTTAACGCGTTACAAGTACCTAATGGATATTGTGATATGATTAATTTGGAATTTATTATAGGTCAATTTTTTGGTTTATACCATAGATATGTATATAATATGTCTTGCATGACATGATCTTGATGTGCCCCATAACCTAACCTAACCTAACCTGTAAACACGTCTATGATTATATTGATTTAAGATTTTCTTTCAAGAGTTGTGAACATTGTAGACGGGCATTAGTTGACACTTGATTTTGGCATTATACATAGTTATAAGAGTAGAACGCAGATGTTTTCCTTTTCACATTTTTGAGATTTTTGTCAGTGATCTTTACAAATTTTAATAGTTTGAAGCTAATGGTGTTTTTTTTGGTTTATTACTGCATATTATTATTTAATGGTATTGCATATTTTCACAAAGTTCAAAATGAATTGCATATTGAAGTGAAATTTAAAAAAAAAAAGTATACAATTTAATAATACATTTTGTAAGGCACTCAGTGATTATTTATTTTAATAATATTAAATTATAAATTATTTATGAGTCATGCATTTATAAACTATTGATTTGTGAAATTTTTACCATATTACACAATTTAAAGTTACCTATTTTCTTGCATATTTGTCTTATATTTTCACGATTTTGACTGCATAGTATATCGCATATTTGACACTTTTTAGTGTATAAAATCTGATCTCTAAATAGTACGAGTATAATATGACAATTTACAACGATTGAAAAAACATAATAATTCAAATTACATATAATCGCAGAGTATATAAAAACAGATAGTGCACTTCCTTGGGCTATGTCCTCGAAAATGTAAGCAAATCAAAATGACAAAATCCGTAGGTCAAATACACGAATTGAGATAGGTATATCTTAGTTCGTACTCAAATTTACTTCAAATTAGTACCACCACTAATGTAGAGTTTTATATTATAATCTGTGATATCGGCGAAGCACGTCCAGTTCAAAGCGCCACTGCGCCAGCGATGTCGTAAATGGCCTGTCGCCGCCCGCCGGGTGTAGGCTATCTCGTTGATGCATATTCATCACGATCTATATACAACCGTGATATTCATTGTTCAAGCATAGATTTATTATTATTATTATTATTATTATGATTCCAAAATGTATGATATTGTTATGGCACAGTGTCGAGCACAGACTGTTTGAGATAGAATTCTAGATAGATTCTATCTAATCTATCTTAAACCGTGGTGCTGAGTAAAGGGTACTGCAATATTGGCACTTCGGCGTCTAAACCACCTCTTTTTCGCTCACAGATAATAAATTAAAAAATATTATGTAATTAAAAGAAATCTATATTATCTATGGCCTATCATAGTATATTATAATTATGATCGATCTAAGGCCAATTCATTTCTTTATTATCTATTTAGTAATATTCCGCCACTGATATCTGTACTACTTGTTCTGTGATACTACACAGTACACAGTCGAATGCATTCTGCATCTGCGATCGACGTTATCACTGCCGCCGACGCCGTATCACCGTTGTCGTTACAAAAAATAACTATTAACTATTCATTTTTGCGTTTCCACACTAAATATTTAAATCATACCTAGACATATATTATTATGTAGATACTAAATAAGTCCAAGACTTAAATACCTACAGCTTACGTAAAAATAAATTCATTATTATTATCACTACAACCGTCCGCCTGCAGCAACAAACAAATAATAACAATTTTACTTTATGTTTAATTACCAGTAAGTAAACGATTTTCTTTGCTGACCGACACGATTTTTAATTATTGCTATTTTCAAGTAGAAACGATTTATAACAACAGCGCACGAGTTAACCAAACGGGATCAAGACTCAAACCACCAACACCACTCAACAGTTCTCACTAAATGTGTGTCTATGTCGATCGTACTCGTATTGTTGTTTTACGTTGGTGATACTTGAACACATTTTGAGTAAGTGTAATTTTTTTCTTCTTTATCTAATTTTTACTTACTTTTACAATGCAGCTATTAACACATTTTAAAATACATGACATGTATTTACTATTCAGCAGTAAGTATTTACAATCTCTTAATATTTTACTATTGTGTTTATAGTTGTTTTCTGGAAGTTTGTCGATTGAAGTGATGGAGGTGGATAACTATGTCACTATGTTTACACTACAAAATTAACAATCGCTACCCCCTGAATAGTGTTGAGACTACATAGACGGCAAAAACAATTTAAATACTGTCCACTCTTTTACCACAATGTTTTTCAGGGTCAGGCATCAGAAAATGGTACATGTGTACCTACTTGTACTTGTGATACTAGGAATTTTAGTAGTATTGGGTGCAATGATTGCATACCACGCATTGTTACGTGAACAACATTTTCAAATTCAAGTAGCTGTAGCCAAGTTGGCAAGTGGCGATAGTAATTACCGGAATTTTGGTAAGTGTACATACTTCTATACAGTGGCACAACTAGAAAAAAATTTCAGGGGGGTATACAACCCCTTCACCCCCACCCCTAGTTTCGCCACTGCTTCTGTACCAGTAAATCTATTACAATGTAATAGCCATAGGTACTCATGACAAAATAGATAGGTATGCCAGCTATACTGTGATACACATCTGGGTGTACCACCACATATTCTGTCTGTCATAGTTCTTTGCAGGGAACTACAAGTAAATAGATGATATAAAAAGTAGTGAGCTTCCACAGAAACTTAAAGTAAAATTGTTGCTGTTGTACCTATCTATTTTGTCATGGATATAGTGTGATTTTTCACATCTATGTGAGTCACTATTGATATGTGTCTATCACAGATTCATCCGCCTCACAGTACCACCAAAACTCTGTCATGATTCTAGAAGAACAAAAGCCTCTGGTAATCTACAATAGGGTGCCCAAGACCGGATCCACAAGTTTTGTCAATGTGGCCTATGACCTGCATTCTTATAATGCATTTCGGGTCCTTCATGTCAATGTTACGGGCAACTCGCATTTGCTTTCCATCTACGATCAGGTATAGATCACATTGCTATAACCTTGTTCAAAAAACCCTGCTATAACCATCTAAAACTTTGTATTTAAATTATTAATTATTATCTTTCAGTTCCGGTTCATTGACAATACTACACGTTGGATGCGGCCCGCATTTTATCATGGCCATTTTGCATATATTGATTTTGAGAGGTAATTTTTAAATCTACTTCTGAAGTTATAAATATTATGTTTTAGTTACACTTATTGATTTAATTTTAAGATATGGGTACAAGAAGCCATATTATGTTCAATTGTTACGCAAACCTTTGGATAGGTTGGTTTCGTATTACTATTTCCTACGGTACGGTGATGATTATAGACCACATCTTGTGCGCAAAAAGCATATGGACTCATCGACAACATTTGATGAGTGTGTTGAGCGCGGTGGATCAGATTGTCAAGCAAATCTTCTGTGGTTACAAATTCCTTTCCTGTGCGGTCAATCAGCCGACTGTTGGTTTGTATAATATTATTTTTTATCATTATATTTGATGCATTACTAATATTAATTTACCACTAATTTTTTCAAATAAAAATGTTCATTTATTATTCTCAACGTATTTTAAGTTAACTGTGTGTCATAAAAAATGTTATTTCCTAGGATTCCAGGAAGTGAGTGGGCATTGCGACAGGCCAAACGTAATGTTCTTGAAAAATACACTTTAGTGGGAGTCACCGAAAAAATGGGAGAATATCTACAGATGCTTGAACTCGTGATTCCTGGTGGGATGTTTCGCAATGCTTCTGAACATTTCAAACATAGTATGTATACATGGTCTATATCAGTGTTTCTCAATCTTTTTAGTACCGTGACCCAAATTTCCCTCGAAAAAACTTTTGCGACCCACATTGTTTCACTTTTCAAAATTTATTTAGTAAAAAACCAAATTTGTATTGTATAAATATGAAGGGTTACGGGGAAAACGATCATAGTCAAAAGAAAGAAAAAATCAAATAATTATAGAACCTTTTGGTTAGTTTCATAACGAATCGACACTTGAATCGAGTTATAGAAAAGAGATCACGGTCAATGATATAATATAGGTTTAAATATTACCATAACGGAAAAAAAAGGCCAGAGTCCCACTTATTGTTTTTCCCTGTAACCCTTCATATGTATACATTTTTAGGTATTTAGTATTTTATAGGTTTTTAATTTATATATTTTTAGAAATGTACTTTTAATTATTAGGTTTATACGAAATGTGTGCTTGTTTTCTGTTATGGTTAATAACAGCATTGACATCGATGTCAATTTTAATTATTTTCAAACGTAATGAGATCGATAACTTTAGCTTGTTTCTTTCAATGTTTGTTTTTGATGCCCACCATTGCCGAAAATCCAACTTCACACATGTATAAGGATGAGATTCTATATAAATAAAAAAAATTTTCATGACCCACCAAAAATTGACTGACGACCCACACTTTGAGAAACGCTTGTTTATATTTTATTAGGTATTTTGGTTGTATGTGGTGTACCGCACATTTCTATTCGTCATACGCAGTATAAATACCCCATGTTTTTTATATTTAAGGCTGTTGAAAGTGTGTATTTTTTTTGTGTTTAGATTTAGATTATTAACATTAAAATAACAGTGAATTTTGAATAAAAAAAGAAAATTAATTTGGTACTATACTAATTAAACAATACAACAAATCGTGAAGCAATTTCCTATAAAACCTAAAAAAGAGAATTAGGAATTCAAATATGTTTTCAAAATTAAAATCAGGCTTTCGGTACTGGGTGAATTTTTCTTGGTCTTTTTGAGACTTATGGCCACATGAGAGTTGAAACTAGAGGTAAGAATTTTAGACATATTGTTAAAATACTCGTGTACACGAAGTTAGTATATTTAATGTGCACGTGTAATTGATTCCTGTAATTAATATTCTTCGGATAAAAATCATATTTAATAAACAATATACCTAACCTAACCTAACCTAAAAATTTGTTTGGTTAGACTAATTAAATTGTTGAACTAATTTTGACAATTAAGTCATTAACACGTTCACGGCCAAGTGTCAACTATAGTTGACATGGGGTTTCCTTTATATAAACCCATGTCAAGTATAGTTGACATCAGGTCCATTGATTTGTATACGAATTATTCGACTCTGGTTTATTCTAATAAATATTATGATAATATGGTTTTTTTAAACACTTCTTTACGTATCGATTGGTGTATTTGGTTTTTAAATCTGACCACTAGATAGCAATATAAGTAATATTCATTGTAGGTAACTAAAAAATCTTTTTTTATGTCCTGGTATTTTTAAACAACTTTCTTAATTATACTGTGGTCGTGAACGTGTTAATTTCAGAACTTTAAATAAATATACCTGTGAAACTTTAGTGTTGCAAACTAATGCACGTATATCAAAAATACACGAATTACACATGTAATAGGGACCACTAGTTTAAACTATTTTGATAGCAAAATATAGTGACATGTGACTGTGCGTATGTACGTTACGGATTCCGAAGAATCTTACCTGTAGTTTATCTTTAATTACATAACGTGTTCGGGAAACTCATGCACACTAATATTTACAGTCATGCAGCACACACGGTAGACATAGAATATTGCCTAAATCTGACCCCTTAAAAATGGTTTGCTTTCAACAGCCTTAATTAATATATCAATAAATACATAAATGTAGATAAATATTAGATAAATAATAGGTCATTTATTTAAAAAAATGCAAAATTGAATATATAAATATTTAAATGTTATCTAGTAAAAAATGATTGAGTAATATACAAATGTAAAAATCACTCTATTATCTAATTATTCAATTATAAATACATTAATTTATTTTTATTATTTGTTTTACATTATCAACATTACAAATATACAAAATATTATAATTATTAAAATTATTTATAAAAAAATAATTATCAAAACATATTTAAATGTGTACTTTTTATAATTTTTCTGACGACTCCATTGTTCTGATAAATATGATGACAGTAAAGATGGTGATGTACCATGTATTTTTTTATAACTGTATGAAGTTTTAAAGCTCTCAACGTTAGGCGCGAGTACACAATTTTTTTTGTGTCTAGTATCCACAAGAAGGACTAGAAGGATTATCATTTTGAATAAGTCTATTTTCCTTTAAAAATGTACAAATAGTATTTTACTTTTATCAATTAGATATTTAAATTAACATTTTTTTTAACTTTAATTAGGATAAAGTGTAATCATTGCTTTCGTTAACGGAATGATTCAGTAGATGTGTAATAGATGATAAGTATGACAAGAATAACTTTTATTTACTGTCTATGAATTTCAGTTCCATGTATGATGTATTGTTGTATGTACTATATTATATAATAATTCGTAGGCTCCAAGTCACATCTAAGAAAGACTGCTAAGAAATATCCTGTCTCTCGGAAGACCGTACAAAAATTTCATGAATCAACAGTTTGGCAAATGGAAAATGAACTATATGCATTTGTTGCCAGAGAGTTTGCTTTTGCATATGGTAAGCAGTTTCCAAACATTTCATCAGGAGTTTCTGGTACTATGAAAAAACATTTGAAAATTAGTGCCATACCTCCACCTAGTTTCCGATATGAAAAAATATATCCAAAGCCATCAAATCAACATAAAAAGAAAAAAAACACTGCCCGTGTGTAACAAATTTTATTTTATGAGCTTTAATAAATGACTTTACACAGTAGTACTCATCATGAAAATAAAGTACTACTTAATAATATTTTTCAATGTATTTATAATATTATGTATATGTATATCTTAAATCCGCCTTGTATATTATTATTAAACTATGTTTTCTACATTTGTATTGACGCCAAAAGTTATTATAATGATTAATTTGTTTTAAATGTTATCTGTTGAACGGTTTTATTAATATTTTTGTCTATATAAATTTAACTTGATATCAAGTACTTAGTATTGTCAAAACAGTTATTTTTATACTAGTAGAGATTAATAGTTATAGAACAACCAATATTGACTGAATTCGTAATATTTATTGTTAGTTAATTTATACTTATTATTATTTGTTCTTGAAAAGAAATAAAAATGGGGATTTAGATGTAAGACTTCAATATTTATTTTTTTTTCTTAAGAATTGATTTTAATAAAAAAAAAAGTTAAATATTATATAATGTATAAATTGAGTTAAAACAATAATTTATTTTAATGAATTAGAAATTCCTTCAATCAACGAGACTGATACAGTAACATCAAGATATTATAACATAATATTAATTAAACTAATATATTTAACTGTATATTTATAGACCGTGAAAACATTTAGTCTTATACCCTTATGTAAAATAATTTGAAATGTTATGATTTCAGTACATTATATGTTTTATTTATCATACTCATGAGATTCTAAGGAACATTATGTACCCAATTTTTATACACTTGAATGGGACGATGACTACTTAATATTTTATAAATTATTTATAAAAAATAAACTAGGTGATAATTATAATTACTTACCCAGTTCTACACAAACTTAAACAAATTTTTTTTAAATATTTTGTTTACATAGTTTGATGTCATTGCAAAGCAAAATTTTGGAAAAATTATCTTTATTACCATTTTCATGTTTTTTAATTAATTTTTCAAATAACACCATACTTGAATATTATTTTCAGCAGACTATTTTTAATATATATATATTTTTTTTGATACCTACATATGAGTCGAATTTCAAATTAGTAATTAGTAGTTACAACTTAAAATTTATAAGTATTTAAAAATATTTTATTTAACCTATTTAAATTAATGCTAAGCTAATTATTTACAATGGACCACAGACTTATAAGTTATAAGTTAATAAAAGCTTGTAATATTTTATTATAACTATTATAATATACAGGATGTATCTTATATCGCTGTACTCAAGTTTTTTTTAATAACCATGGATCGATAATATGGAACTTCTTAAAAACAAAAAGACTTTTAGATTCTGAGTGAAACGATGAATGTATTGATTTTACAATGATGTGTGTTTATTAATTTTTTTATTTTTTTTGTGTCTGTGTACACGATAAGTAGTCGAAATAATGCTTCGATTTTCAACTTCAGTATCTTGTTCGATTGGAAAGTGAATATCGTTGGTGCATTGGGGAGGTCAAAATTTAAAATTCCCAGTACTTTTCAAAAGCGCCAAGAAAAACAAAAGAAAAATTAAGGAAAAACGGGAATTTTTACGCAAAATCGATTTTTCGGAAAATTGAATTTGGTTTTTGTTGTAACTTTAAAACAGATACATGAAATTTTCACTGGTTGTTTATATTTGCATTTTCTATACACGATAACATTTTCAAAATATTTTGATTTATTTTGAACTGTTTAGGGACATTTTAATTTTCCATTTTAGATTCTGAGTGAAACGATGAACGTATTGATTTTACAATGATGTGTGTTTTTTTTTTTATTTTTTTTTTATTTTTTTTTTATTTTTGTGTCTGTCATCACGTTTTAGGACAGTAAAAGTGCTTGGATTTTCTTCATCAGTAGCTTTTCTGATAGGAAAGTGAATCTAGTTGGTACTTTGGGGGGTCAAAAGTATAAATTTCCCAGTAGTTTTCACAAGCGCCGGGAAAAAACAACATAAAAATTAAGGAAAAACGGGAATTTTTACGCAAAATTGGTTTTCCAAAAAATCGATTTTGGTTTTTGGTGTAACTCTAAAACAAATGAACGTATATACATGAAATTTTCACTGGTTGTTTATATTTGCATTTTCTATACACGATAACATTTTCAAAATATTTTGATTTATTTTGAACTGTTTAGGGACATTTTCATTTTTCATTTTTTTTTAGTTTTTTTTCTAGAAATATCAATAAAATTTTATTTGTTGGTTGCGAAAGCTTGAAAATTTAATAGAAGGCTCCTAATATGTTGTTTCAAAGGCAGATGAAAAATATTAAAAATCCTTAGTCACAATTTTTTTTTATAAGCACTTAAAGTTCAAAAATTGACAAAATATGGAAAAATCACGAAAATTAGCAAATTATTTTGAGTTAAGAATTCGTAAAAATTTTTCTTTTTAAATCTAAGATTTGAAAATTTAACACAAGATTCCTTATAAGATTATCTACCTTTATCAAAAAAAAAATGTCTATAAGAAAGTCAAATTAAATTTTTATGAGCGTTTGAAATTCAAATTTTTACAACATTGAATATTCACTCGATTTCCCATGTAGCGATTTCCTTAGTTTGTTGTAATTCAAAAACAAATAACTGTAGATACATGAAAATTTCACTGAATGTTTAAATTAGCATTTTCTATACACCATACAATTTTGAAAATATTTTGACTCTTTTTGAGCTGTTTATGGACATTTACAGCTTTCAATTTTTTTTAGTTTTTTTTTCTATAAATATCAATAAAGTTTTATCTGTTGGGCCAAAAAGTATAAAAATTTAATACAAGGCTCCTGATATATTGTTACAATATCAGTTGAAAAATATTAAAAATACATAGGCACGATTTTTTTTTATAAGCATTTAAAGTTGGAATTTTGACAAAATTTATCAAAATCTCGAAAATTATCAATCGTTGGAATTAAAAAATTATAAAATGTTCAGTTTTATAACTAAGAGTTGAAAATTTAAAACAAAGATTCTCTTAAATAATTCATACTGTAACCAAAAAATCTAAAAAATATATAAACACACTTATTTTTTACAGACATTTTAATTTCAAATTTAGACAATATTTCATATTTAAACCAAGAATTACGATTTTAGTTATTTCGTTGTGATTGAATAATACTATTCGTGGGTACTTGAAACTTCTAAAGTGTACTATTATATATCTATGATAGTATCACGGTTTTTGTTGATGTATAACGCGTTATAAGTATCTAATGGATATTGTGATATGATTAATTTGGAATTTATTATAGGTACCTATTATAGGTCAATTTTTTGTTTAATACCATAGATATGTATATATTATGCCTTATACATAGACTGACATACCATCACCGCTCAGAATCGTTTTTCTTATACAATGATATTATATCATTGAATTCAAATTTAATACCATCCATTATACAGTGACCCACTTGTAACCTACTGTACAGCAGAGCGACACCCACTTGCCCACCTTTTTATTTATATTTTTGTGTCTGTCATCACGTTTTAGGACAGTAAAAATGCTTGGATTTTCTTCATCAGTAGCTTTTCTGATAGGAAAGTGAATCTAGTTGGTACTTTGGGGGGTCAAAAGTATAAATTTCCCAGTAGTTTTCACAAGCGCCGGGAAAAACAACATAAAAATTAAGGAAAAACGAGAATTTTTACGCAAAATCGATTTTCCAAAAAATCGAATTTGGTTTTTGGTGTAACTTTAAAACAAATGACCGTAGATACATGAAATTTTCACTGGTTGTTTATATTTGCATTTTCTATACACGATAACATTTTCAAAATATTTTGATTTATTTGGAACTGTTTAGGGACATTTTCATTTTTCATTTTTTTTTAGTTTTTTTTCTAGAAATATCAATAAAATTTTATTTGTTGGTTGCGAAAGCTTGAAAATTTAATAGAAGGCTCCTAATATGTTGTTTCAAAGGCAGATGAAAAATATTAAAAATCCTTAGTCACAATTTTTTTTTATAAGCATTTAAAGTTCAAAAATTGACAAAATATGGAAAAATCACGAAAATTAGCAAATTATTTTGAGTTAAGAATTCGTAAAAATTTTTCTTTTTAAATCTAAGATTTGAAAATGAAACACAAGATTCCTTATAAGATTATCTACCTTTATCAATAAAAAAATCTCTACCGGACAGTCAAATTAAATTTTTATGAGCGTTTGAAATTCAAATTTTTACAACATTGGATTTTCACTCGATTTCTCATGTAGCGATTTCCTTATTTTGTTGTAATTCAAAAACGAATAACTGTAGATACATGAAAATTTCACTGAATGTTTATATTAGCATTTCCTATACACCATACAATTTTGAAAAGATTTTGACTCTTTTTGAGCTGTTTATGGACATTTACAGCTTTCAATTTTTTTTAGTTTTTTTTTCTATAAATATCAATAAAGTTTTATCTGTTGGGCCAAAAAGTGTAAAAATTTAATACAAGGCTCCTGATATATTGTTACAATATCAGTTGAAAAATATTAAAAATACATAGGCACGATTTTTTTTATAAGCATTTAAAGTTGGAATTTTGACAAAATTTATCAAAATCTCAAAAATTATCAATCGTTGGAATTAAAAAATTATAAAATGTTCAGTTTTTATAACTAAGAGTTGAAAATTTAAAACAAATATTCTCTTAAATAATTCATACTGTAACCAAAAAATCTAAAAAATATATAAACACACTTATTTTTTACAGACATTTTAATTTCAAATTTAGACAAAATTTCATATTTAAACCAAGAATTACGATTTTAGTTATTTTGTTGTGATTGAATAATATTATTCGTGGGTACTTGAAACTTCTAAAGTGTACTATTATATATCTATGATAGTATCACGGTTTTTGTTGATGTATAACGCGTTATAAGTATCTAATGGATATTGTGATATGATTAATTTGGAATTTATTATAGGTCATTTTTTTGTTTAATACCATAGATATGTATATAATATGTCTTATACATAGACTGACATACCGTCACC